TAATGCAATACAATTTGAAGGATGGAGAATCTGTCTACAACCATGTACAAAGAATGCAAATATATACGGAGCGAATGGAAAAGCTCAATGTGTCTTTTGACAACGATTTGGCCATAGACATGGTCCTAAACTCCTTGCCACCCAGTTAGATCAGTTTATCTTAAATTATCATTTGAAAAACACGGATACCATATTGACACAACTCCACAACTTGCTATAGATAACTGAATCATGGATGAAGAAAATTTCATTCTTTTCTGCGACAAGTGCTTGTGTCCAAGCCATTGGACAAAAAAAAGGAAAAAAGAGGAAACCTATTTCTCAAATGAATTGGAAGGGCAAGGCCCATGATGGAACTTCTACCAGTGGGTCGAAGTCAAAGCCTAATTATGATATTCCTCCTATTAGTAACCCCAATGAGGCCACTTGCTACTATTTTAACGAAAAGTGCATCGAAAAGGAATTTTACCTAAATACTTGCATGATCTGAAGGATGGCCAGGTCAAGCCATCTTCGATAGGTATGTACATTAATCAAGTCAATAACTCACAACTTACTCGTTCTTGGGTCCTTGGCACAGGATGTGGTTTCAACATTTGATCTGATTTGCAGGGGATAAGAGAAAGTGAGGAAGTGGATCATGGAAGAATATATCTGATCATGGGGAATATGCGATCTTCACCTATTACCAAGATTTGAACTTATGGTCTAGTGCTTGGTGGTGATGTTAGGATAGATTTGATAAACTGTTCATACAAGATTTTCGATTTTCTTTTGATGATACCAATGGTTCGATTCTAGCTTATAAAAATGCAATTTTTATGTTTAAATATTTACCTTGTAATAGTGTGTATGAAACTATGATTTGTTTTGACAAATTAGGCAATGATATATTTCACATTGATTCGTCTAATGGTGTAGACAAAGAATGCTTGTAGCATTGTCGTCTTGGGCATGTAAACAAGAAACACAGCACCCAACTCTAAAAGGATGGAGTGTTGGAATCATTTGACTTTATGGATTTTATACATGCCAAATTTCTTTATAGAGTGTGTAAGCTATAGAAATCCCTTTATGGATTGAAGCAAATATCTCGCTACTAGAATCTTCTCTTCCATGAGAAAGTCAAAGAGTTTGGATTATGTAGGAGTGAGGATGAGTCTTGTGTGTATGTCAAGGCTAGTGGGAGTATAATAATTGTCCTAGTATTGTATGTTGATGACATACTCTTTATAGGAAGTGACATTTCAACCTTGCAAGAAGTGAAATATTCTATTGGAAAATGTTTTTCTATGAAGGACCTAGGGGAAACAACCTTTATTCTTGGCATAAGGATTTATAGGAATAGAAAGAAACGACTTATTTGTATTAGCTAGAGTACATAGTTGGATAAAATACTAAAATATTTTAGTATAGAGAATTCCAAGAAAGGGAATTTTCCCATTTATCATACTGTTAAGTTGAGTAAGCCTTAAAGCCACAGTACTGATGAGGAAATAGCTAACATGACTTGGGTCCCATATGCGTTGGCTATAGGTTCGATCATGTATGCTATGAAATGCACTCTCCATGACGTGTCTTATGATTTGAGCATGATTAGTCGATTTCAAGGCAATCCTAACAGAGCGTATTAGACAACAATCAAGATTATTCTTATGTATCTGTGGACAATGAAGGATATATTTATAGTCCTTGGTGTCAGTGATACATTAAGAGTGAGTGGATATAGTGACGTTGACTTTCAGGCAGATCTAGACAACTTTTATTCTCAGCTAGTCTGGGTATTTATGTTAAATGGAGGAGCGGTAACTTGAAAAAGTTCCAAGAAGGATTTACAGTGGCTGATTCTACTTCTGAATCATGGTTGATTCTACTTGTGAATCATGGCTGATTCTACTTGTGAATCAGACTACATCGCAGCAAGTGAGGCATTAAAGGAAATGGCGTGGTTGAAGGACTTTATCGGCGATCTCGGAGTAGTCCCAGTCATTCAAGAGCCAATGGAACTTTTTAATGATAATGAAGGGGTAGTTTCTTTGAAAAGGGAACCAAATGATCATAGTAGATCCAAGGATATCGACAGAAAGTACCATTACATCAGTTACAGGACCGAAGAAGGTCATCTCTTAGTCAAGCGAGTATCATTAGAAGACAATCCTGCAAATCATTTCACAAAGGCTTTGAGCAGTGTTAAACACAACCAGCATGCTAAGAGCATTGGCTTGAGGTACGCTGTTAGTTTTAGTAGTTAGTTGATAGTTGAAATGTTGTAACAAAAATAAAGTGGTAATTTATGAGTCACTTGTAACAAAAATAAAGTGGTAACAAAAATTCTCGTGTTTCATTTTGCATTTTTTACCTCATGAATTATTTGAATATTAAAAATTCCATATTTGCTCATATTTTTAGAGGCGAGTAGTGAATTAAGACTGTCATGAATAAATTTTTGGTTGTCTAGAGAGATTAGACATTGCAACGGGTTTGCAACAATATTTATGAGTACATAGAAAATGCAAATTTTGAGTATTTGATAAACCCATGCTTAGAGACTACTTCATGGATTTAATCACTAGTAATTCTAAGATGATAATAACTTTTATTCTTCAAATGGAGATATATAAAGTGGTAATTTATGAGTCACTTGTACATTGATATTATGAAAATGCATTAGTAACATGATGTTACAAAAGTAGTTTCACGTATAATTTGGTGAGTAATATATATATTTATATGGTAAAAGTTTATTGTTTCCTTTTCCCCTAATGGGAAAAGTGATATCTTTGGGCCCTCAGTGATTTGGTGTTGACATTATAGTGTTGGGCCACTGAATTGAGGTGTTCAATTTGTAGTCTAATGACATCATCAAAAATCAGGAAATTGGGAAACAAAATTTTGGACAATGATATTGATTATAATCCATTTCTTGGGTCCATGTAATATCTTGAAGACCGAAGGAATATTTGATCACTTATGTTAGGTCTGATTGGATCAGAGTTTGACATTTGCTTTAGAAAGCACACTCTACTATTTAATTTTGAAGTTATACTTGTAAATGTAGTTATAGACTTATCTAAGTGGGAGACTTTTAGATTAAGGTGTCTAAGCCAATAACCAAATTGATATATATATATATATATATATATATATATATATATATATATATATATATATATATATATACTTGAATTAAAAACAAAGTCCTTTTTGGGTTGTCCTCAAAATTAGTAATTGAGTACAATGACATTTGGAGGAAGAGCTTGATTTATTGATTTATTATGTGATTAATAAATAGTAATAAATAATTTGTGAATATATTATGTGATTAATATATTAATTAGAAATAATATTATTTAGTTAATAATTAATCAGAAATTAATTGGAAATCATTTTCAGATTAACTGGATTAATTAAGAGTGCATGGATTTAAGTTGTACTTGTTTAATAGTTAAACAAGAGAGGTTCTAGAACCTTAATAGGAGGGGACAGTTTTGGGGGAGCCTATTAGGGTTTCAATAATAATCCCTGTGGATAATTGAGGAGTTGGATAATTAGCTAATTTGAAATATTAATATTATATTCAAATTAGGGTTTCCAAGGCCCCTTGTATCAGCTATAAATAAGATCCCTTGGGGCCTTATTTTCGTCTACTCCTCTCTATAACCTAAGAGCCAAAAATTTTCTCTCACAACCTCTCTCCACAAGTCTTCTTGTTACTAGGATTTAGGTACAAATCATCAGAGACTTTTGATTTATGGTGCTTGCTTTCCAAGGTTTTGAAGAAAGGATTTGTTTTAATTATTTTGTATAATAATGAAAAGGTTTGTAAACCCTAACCCTATATGAATTTTGATTATTATACGCTTACCTTAGGGTCTTTGATATTCATAGATCATTGCTATCAACAAAGAAAATTAAGATACAAGTAGGTTTCATGTGAAATTAAGGGTTAAGTTATTTTTGCCTCATGCATTGATTTATAAGATTTAAAACCTATCATGTGCGTCGAATGTAAAAGTCTATAACATTTTCCTTGATTATTGATTATTATAATTTCTATAACACCTACAGATTTGGGCTAGTAAATTAAGATATATTAAACGTTAAAAATAACTTTTTTATAGAAGGTTATTTAGGATAAATAACGTTAACCAAATTTATAGTGTACGTGACTAGGGTTTCGTACATATAAAGAATGCTGAAACCCGACTTCATATGAAGAAGTTATACTTCCTCGAAGTTGTGCGATTAAACCGGCATGGCTCTGCGTATTGTAAAAAGTGAATTTTTGATAACTTACTTTTTAGCCTAAGAGATCTAAATGAAAATCATAGTAGTAGTTAAACAAGAGCATATATACAAAGAATATCCAAATCTGACTTTGTGAGAGGAAGTTATGATTTTTTGAAGTTTCAGCACAATAGAGCAGACACAAAATCAAGACTCTAATCAGTTGATTGTTAGCCGAAAGAATCTAAAGGAGAATTGAATATCTCATGAACATGAACCTGTCGATAAAAAGACAAACAAGAACAGAGTTTGTATGAAGCACTACTAGAAAAAAGGCCTTTTACGACGCTCATTGCGCGTTGTAAAACGCTCAGATGACGCGCAAATGCGCGTCAAGGAAGGCCCTGTCATAACGAGAGACGACGCGGATTTACGACGCACATTTATGACACGCAATGCATATCATTAAAACCGCTGTCAAGAAACGCCATGTCATAAATGAAGATGACACACATTTTTGCGTATCGTAAATTTTATTTTATTTTAAAAAAAAATTATTTATAGATTTACTAATTTTCAAATTAAATTTTCATTTCATGTTTTATAATAGAAAATAAAATAACATATAAAAAAAATACAATCCATTGCACAAAAGTTAATGCCATACAAAATACAAAATAAAATACATGATAAATAAGAAGTATAATTCATTGTACTAAAATGTCAAATACATATAATCATCGCTAACTATATAACCTAATAGTACATTGCTATTAAGGGACATCATCATAACTAACTGAAGGTCTTGGAACAATGTTCTCATCATCAACTCTTACACCAACCTTGCTTTAGTATATGACTTTCACACAACATCTGGATAAGTACGTTTCAAACAGGAGATAAAAGAAACTTTCTCCCATATTGCTGAGTGACTTCATAGCTTGATACCTTAGTTGATCAAGAACCAAACCTAAGTTCCTACTTGCTTCGATTGATAAATCACAAACATTAAGTATGGGATCCCTACAGCACAAGTAACCATGAATAAGTAACCATAACTTATTTTCATCAATTGATAAACCTGACCCGATATTAAATTCAAGCATCTTCTCTAACATTATTTATAGCAAGCAATGATTCATGTCAAAATAAATATTTTATTTCAGCATTTTATGTGTCTGAATGAAAAACTGATACTATGGGAAATGACCATTCTGACCTTCGTTAGGGTTGTTACTTTTCTAGGTGGGGACGCCCTTGAAATACTCCTATCTCCATCCAATAGCAAATACCGATACGCTTTCATATGATAAGCATTCTCACCACCCCATCCCTTTGCAAGCTTCTCCTCAACTTTAACAATCCTTCTAGACACCTGCCAGATAGATAAATAAACAAATAAAAATAATAATCGATTCTTAATGGACAAGGGTAAAATAGGAAACTAACATTTTCAAGAAGTTGTTGCTTCAACATGGAGATCCCTTCTTCTCCATTAATAATAATAATAATAATAATAATAATAATAATAATAATAATAATAATAATAATAATAATAATGATGATGATGATGATGATGATGATGATGATGATGATGATGATGATGATGATAATAATAATAATAATAATAATAATAATAATAATAATAATAATAATAATAATAGCTACAACCTCATTTGAAATCCTCGCTCGAGATATGACTTTATCGCTTACACATAGGTCCATTTTCTTGGAACGCCATATTGTTACTTACTGAATGGTCGACTATAGGAATTAACAACTGCAATACCTTTGCGACATTAAACTTGATATTCGGCACTCTGAAGAAAACAAATAAGTTAAATAGAAAATAGAAAATAGAAAGAGGAGAATAAAAAGACATTAAAAAAATGTAACTAATTAAATAATTACCTGTCTTTGGATAAGGTAATAAGTGCTGGAAGAAGTTTAGAAAAAGTAATTTCTGACCCCATAACTGAGGCAAGTAGAGAAATTGCACGAACAACTGTCATTCGATATAAATAATGTGAATTATTAATCATCTCCAACACCTGCCACAAATAAAAAAAATACACCCAAATTAAAACATAATAAATCCAAGACTAATTTACGCTTATGGTCCTCATGTATATCTTGTTTTTACAATTTTGGTCCTTATTTGAGGTTCTTGTAATATATTGTCATTATATGTTCAGTTTGAGACCAGAATTGCAAGAGAAAACTTTTTGGAACCAAAATTGAAAAAAAAAATCAGTTAACTCAGCGACAAAAATGTAATTTGCTTTATGCACTGAACAAATAATAACCTGTGGGACAAGAATATGCCTGCATTGCTGCCACCTCATCCATCCAGACTCTATCATTACTGAGGGACAAAAATGTAATTTACTTTATGCACAATTCATGAAATTTAAACATGCTTCCCTAATGAAATTGAAATGATATTCAAACATAGTGGTATAGGAAGACCTTAAAAGAGACATATCTTAATGGATTCTTGAGTTGCTTAATGTGTGATGAAAACAGGTTTATACCTTAAACGAAGAGATCCAAAAGCATTAGAAAAAGACATGAGATCTTCAAGGTAATATGGTTTCAGTTTCTAGACCCACTGACACAGTTGCATAAAGTAAGTGCAGAGTCAGCTTGAGACACATCCTCTTGTGACAATGACATATGAAATATATATATATATATATATATATATATATATATACAATGAACATGTTTCTTTTCTAAATATTATCATCCCAGTGGTTCAAGTTGTCAGCTTCAGGGGCGCCTTTACTTTTGGCAAACTGCTTTAGATCTTCCATATCTACAAGATACAGAGGAATAGGTATCATGAACCATTTTCAATAGAATTTTAGTGAAAAGAACATCAACAATATAAACGTGGAATCAGATATGAAAATGAATGGTAACAAAAACATTCATTAGAAGTGACAATAAATTACAGTCAGTAAGATATATGTGGGTATATTACCCTGAACGGCAGCATTCCAGGAAACACTCCTGAGTTTTTCCAGAAGCTCTTCTGCTTTACTAACAGTAGCCAACTTGGAGCATCCAAAGTAAACACCCATGGCCCATTTTCAGCAGTTGCATTTTGATGACCCTGTTTTCAAATAAGCACAATGAAATAAAGACAATTGGGACAATGGTGTTGCAAAATAGAAGCACCCAACAGTTGTTGTAGCAATCACTTGAGTCTGCAGTAAAAACAAAAGGGTAGGAAGGAAAATATAAATATTAGAGTCAAAGAGAAGTATGACTAAACAATATAAATGAACTTGTAACAGCTGGATTTTTCAGGTATCTTGTATATTTGTATTTTTGGTGATTTGAGAGGGGACTCGGAGAGTTGGAGCTCAGACTCGCCGAGTAGGGATGCGGATCTGGACGCGGGATCGCGCCTGGACTCGACGAGTCCAGGATATGGACTCGGCGAGTCAGCGATGTGTAATGAAACCCTAATTTCTCGGGTTTGAGACCTATTTAAAGGGCCTAATGGTCGTCATTTGTGCTCACCAGTCCCTTGAGTGAAACCCTAATCGAGTGTGAGGATTTGGAGCTAAGTAGGAGGCCATTATTGATCTTGGAGGTGTCATTGTTGCAAGAAAGGAGAAGAGCTAGCCAAGGGAAAGCAAGAGGAGCCACTTCTGTGGGTTTGGAGTCCAGAGCATCACTATTGTGGTAATAAATTCGAGTTATCTTCTTCCTTGTTGTTTTTTATCTAGATTTAGGGTTTGTTGAACCCTTTTATGGTAAGATCTAGTGTCCTCTTGGTCCCTTATGAGGTTTGAACCATAGATCTGGACCCTTAGAGGTCCAGAGTGTCCCTTTACCCAAGCTTTTTGGGAATCAATGGAGGCTTTCGATTGGAATCCTCATGCCTTAGGTTAAAACTCCATTTATGAGCCATGGGGTGTGTTATGGGCACCAAGATAGGAGCTTTACATGATGAATCAGTCTAGGGAGGCCAGATCTATAGATTGTGGAAGCAGATCTGACCTTAGAAGCAAGTTGGAGTGGTTGCATGGCATGGACTCACCGAGTCTGTTCAGCAGACTCAGCGAGTAGTTTGAAGATTGCCTTGGGATTGCTCAGTGAGTGGTCCAATCGAGTCATGGGTAGACTCAGTGAGTCAGGGTGAGTTGGAGAGGGATGACGAGTGGACTGAGTCAAACTGGGACTCACCGAGTTGTTCTTGAGACTCGGCGAGTTGAGTCGGGGTGGCCCCGCGATTCTTTCAGGTGAAACTCGTCGAGTAAGGGGGGGGATACTCAACGTGTAGTAAGGAGATTTCAGAGGGTTGGTGAAAACGTCTAGACTCGCCGAGTCGCCGAGTCCGGTCAAAGTTGACCGTTGACTGTTGACCAGAGTTGACATGTGTTGACTTCTTAGGGATAGTCAACCTTAGAGGGTATAAAGTGTTAATTAGAGACATATAATGTTATAGGAGGATTAGAGCTCGGAGGATCGAGCACGAGGGATTTCCAGGATTCGTGAGATACCGAGATACGCGAGGTGAGTCTTCTCACTATACGATTACCTTGAGTAGGTAACCAGAGTTATGTGATAGAGTATTTGTATGCTATGTATGTTATGTGCTGTACTGCATTATTTCTATGTGATTTATGTGGTGCATGTTTATCAGAGCTAGAACCTGAGGGTTCACAGAGTTTGGGTGCACGGACCCACAGAGTTATAGCCTCGAGTGGCTAATATGTGTTATATGTGGTATTTTGGGGAACTCACTAAGCTTTGTGCTTACAGTGGTTGATGTTATTGTTTCAGGTACTGGTGACGACCGCGGGAAGGCACACACACTCGGAGTTTTTACATTGTGATCTTGGGATTTTGTATTGATCTATATTGGATAATTAATATGGTTGTTTGATGAATATTAATCGAGTTATGTTTTATAAGAAAGTTGAAAATTTTGTTTTGAAATTTACGATGTTACAATTTGGTATTAGAACCTTGGTTTGAGGGATTCGGGTACACCTTCGGGAGTATTTGAACTCAAACTGAGGAATTGGAAAGATATTTTCAAAAGAAAACCTAACTTTTCTAAGAGTAAAAGATTTTCTTGAAAAAGAAACAAATTCCAGGAAGAAACGTGTGTACGATCAGTCAGCGCCCGAACGGTGAATTCCCAAAATACCTTTATATTATGTGATATTGATATTGATATGATGTATCTGCATGCTAGAGTAGGCTAGGTATTGCTAATAGGACTAGAGTGGCCTGATTTGTGATGCCTTAGCCTAGGGAGGGGTGAGCTGCTATGAGATGCTGAGAGTGAGTAGGTAGTAGTGAGGGGCTTATGAGAGATCTATTAGAGGGTGGTCTACGCATGATAGAGTACTTGGGAATTGGGATCCGAAGAGGAAGATTTGGGGTGTGTACTGAGACGGTGTGGACAGTAGTATTGGGCCCGTACTACTGAAAGCACCAGGGCAGTGCACAGTCCAAATAAGAATCTTTGGATACCAAGAATCAAGGATGGGTGGATTGTCGAGTGTAGGAATGCTCGAGTGAATTCTAATTTATCGCATGTTGTATTTCAGAGGTTGATCATGGTGAGGACACGTCATATACCGGAGGGTGCCGGAGCTAGTGATGAGGAGATTCGACAGATCATTCATGAGGAGGTGGCTACGGTCATCAGGGCTGAGATACCAGAGATGTTCGGGTCTGTTAAGACCACACTGATTGAGACATTTGACAAGCATTACGCCGCTCTTTCTGAGGCTGCTGTTGCAGCGGCTACCGCAGCAATCGCTGCGGCGAGACCCCAGGGAGGTGATGCGTCACTGTTTCGGGAGTTCAGCAACACCAAACCACCAGAGTTTGATGGTACACAGGATCCGGTGGCAGCTATGAGGTGGATATCTGATATGGAGGGGTGCTTCTTCACTTGCTCATCTCCTGAGCATCTGAAGGTTCGGTTCGCGCTGAACCAGCTTCGCTTGGGAGCGAAGGACTGGTGGAAGTTTGTGACGGCGCATTTTACGCCTGCTGAGCTTTCGGCAGTGACCTGGGAGAGGTTCACTACCATGTTCCGGGATGAGTACGTTCCCCAGGTGGAGAGGGAGCGTTTGGCACAGGAGTTTCTGACCCTCAAGCAGGGTACTGAGTCAGTTACAACGATCACGAGGATGTTCCATGAGAGGGCGATGTTCTGCCCTGAGCACGTGTCCACTGAGCAGGCACGTATGAGCCGCTACCTGAGCATTTTGAGACGGGATATTCGGGAGTTCGCCGCGAACTCCTCGTATCGAACATTTGCTGAGCTTCAGGCAAATACTTGGAAGAGGGAGATTGAGCTTGAGACACAGGCCAGGGAGGAGGCGGAGTCTCTGGGGAGGGATCGGCCGCCGGCACAGTCCCAGCCGGCAGCCAAGCGGGCCAAGCCCGCTGATCCCAAACCCGGGAGCCAGAAGGGCCGCACTTGCGGGAAGTGCGGAAAGGTTCACGATGGAGTCTGTCGAGCAGGATCTTGCTACAAATGTGGCAAGGAGGGGCATATGGGCAAGGACTGCCCTAAGGGGTTTGCAGTGTGTTTTCACTGCAACCAGACCGGACACCGGAAAGCGGAGTGTCCGCTGCTGCACGGAGAATCTCAGGGATCTGCTCCTGCCACCATCAGAGCTACAGAGAGTCGGCCCGTGAAGGTCGAGGCACCGAGAGCTCGAGGGAGAGCCTTTCAGCTGACTGTGGAAGAGGTCCGTGTTGCACCCGACGTTGTGGCTGGTACGTTTCCTTCTATATATTTATTTTGGTGTTGAGATATTATGCTTATATTATGTTATGCATAGGTACCTTCCTTGTGAACTCTGTTCCTGTTTTAGTGTTATTTGACTCGGGTGCGAGTCGGTCTTTTGTATCTTTGGCCTTTAGTCAGCATATCAGTGTTAGTCGTGAGGCATTGAGTCGGCCTCTGCGGGTTTCCATAGCTGCCGACAGAGTGATTTGTGCCACAGAGGTCCTCTAGGGATGCGTGTTAGAGATTTTTGGGGTTGAGTTTCCGATCGATCTGGTTCCTATTGCTATGGGTGATGTATGTGTCATAGTGGGGATGGACTGGTTGAGTCGATTTGGCGCGGTTATCGACTGCGAGCGTCAGCTGGTGACCATACGAGATCCTAGTGGGGGAGTTCTTTCGGTATACGGCGACGGTACACGTTCTGGATCAGCCTTTTGTTCGGCCGCTAGGGCGAGGCAGTGTTTACAGCAGGGCTGTAAGGGTTTTGTGGTGTATGTGATGGATACGCGAGTGATCTCCGAGAGACCGAGTTCAGTGGATGAAGTTCCGGTGGTGCATGACTTTCCAGATGTTTTTCCTGAAGAATTA